CAAAACTAAGAGCGGACTTAGCTCTAAACAGGTATCTGTTTAGAACTTGTTCACCAGCTAACTCTTTCTTCTAAGAGTAAGATATGATAATTCATGCCCCATATTAATACCAGTCTAATGGTGATAAAGATTCTCATTAGGAAGGCCAAATCCTTCACCCCCGGGCTGGCAATAAAATAGCTCTGGGGGAACTCCATAACACTGCGTGCCAAAAATCAATAACATGCCATTTTATAATTAAGAGACAAAATAAATGCTAAAGGAAAGTCCAGTAAATTAAGAAAAGTAACGTCCAGAGAGATGGAAAGTATTGATTGCAATGTACAAAATATGTGAAGTCCCTCTAGCCTACTCTTTGAAGGCAATTAGAATTTGGACAGTTAATTCTATATAAGCTGGAGGAAAAAAAATCCATGATTATACCATGAATGTATTATGATATTTGTCATTAACAGCAAGTAATTTGTTATCAAGCAACCAGTGTCTCTGATTAATCAATTAGGGAAGGTTCTGGCTGGGTGGCTTCTATATTAAAGCTGATTACAACAACAATCACATTGCCATAAACAAAGCCAGGGGTAAAATGAGAAATTGCTCGATGCCTCCTTTAATCCAAAAATGGAAGAAACACAAATTTGTGAACAGAGCATGGGGGTGGGGGTGGGATAACAGAACGTCTGAAATGATATTGTCATGCAAATTGCTGTGACTTAGGTGCATCAGATGTTGGGACATACATCACAGAATAACAGAACAGCAGAGCTGGAAGGGATCTCGGAGGTCTTCTAGTCCAAACCCTATACCATTCCAGACAAATGGTTGTCCAATCTCCTCTTAAAAACCTCCAGTGTTTGCGAGCCCACAACTTCTGGAGGCAAGCTGTTCCACTGATTAATTGTTCCCCCTGTCAGGAAATTTCTCCTGGTTGGTTCTCTCCTTGGTTAGTTTCCATCCATTGCTTCTTGTCCTGTCTTCAGGTGCTTTGGAGACCTCCTTTTCTTTCTGGCAGTCTCTTAGATATTGGAACACTGTTATCATGTCACCCCTAGTCCTTCCAATCCTTCTTTCATTAAACTAGATATATCTTAATTCCTGCAACTGTTCTTCATATTTTTTAGCCTCCAGCCCTCTAATTATCTTTGTTGGTCTTCTCTACATCTTTTTTATAATCTGGCCACCAAAACTAGATGCAACATTCCAAGTATGGTCTTACCAAAGCATTATAAAGTAGTACTAACACTTCACATGATCTTGAGTCTATCCCTCTGTTAATGCAGCCTAGGACTGTGTTGGTATTTTTTTTTTTTGGGCACAATGCTGGCTCATATTTAAGTGGTTGTCCACTAGGATTCCGAGTTCACCAGACTGGTGTTGTCATTTTGGCATCATTGTGGTTTGCTGTGGACTCAATTGGTCATGTATGGCACTACAGATAATTTTTACAGTCCTAATTTACTTGCTTAAAGTCAATAGTAGGCAAAATGGATCCTTCAGCATGAGATGATTCCCAGTTAGAGAATCTTGGTTCAGGAGTAGAGCTATTGCAAGTGACTCCTATTCTCTAGATATGGGAAAACAGAAACTAAAAATAATTCCCATCTCTCCAAGTATAAAAATTTTCTGCCTTTGAAGAAGTTAAATTTAGTTCAACTCTTTTAATTGGATATCAGTCATTGCAATTCACGGAAATAGGGTAACTATTTGATTAGGGGTCTGGAGGCTAAGACATATGAAGAACAGTTGCAGGAATTGGATACGTCAGTCTAATGAAAAGAAGGGGTGACATGATAGCACTCTTCCAATATTTATCAGTGGAACAGCTTGCCTTTGGAAGTTATGGGTGCTCCAATCTCTTGTTAAAAATCACTGGAAGATTTTAGCAAGAGATTGGACAGCCATTTATCTGAAATGGTATAGGGTCTCCTGCTTGAGTAGGGGTTTGGACTAGAAGACCTTCAAGATTCCTTTCAACTCTGTTATTCTATTCTATTCTATTCTATTCTATTCTATTCTATTCTATTCTATTCTATTCTATTCTATTCTGTTCTGTTCTGTTCTGTTCTGTTCTGTTCTGTTCTGTTCTATACCCTATCCTACTTTACTCTACTCTATTGACAGAAGACACACATCACACCATTCCCTGTGTTTTAGCATCTGCTACCCAAAGCCTACTCCTTATCTTACCTAAGGATAAGACTGCCTATTCAGGCTGGTAGGTTCTATCATCATGAATGCAATTCAAGTGGGACATATACTGCGACATGTCTGTCTTATTCAAGTGTTTCACCTTCTTCAAAAAAAGTTCCTTTCCAATCTTGTGAGCTGGCTTGTAAGTTGAGCTATTTGGGTAAAATGAAATGATTTGAATTATTCCTACACCTTCAATAATCACGAGAACCCTTTTTCTGGAAACTAGAACTTTCCTGGAAACTAGAACACATCCCACTGTGCCCACTTGTTGGTGGGGCCAAATCCAAAATGAATGGGAAACATGTTTTTCTATTTGTTTCTTTGACTCTCCTGTTTTTTTTTTCTCTCTTTCCCCTCCCTCAGAGGACTTCGGGATGAAGCACTAATTGCTTCCCTAGGGGTTTGATCTAATGATCTTCAGACAGCTTCTAAAATTGGGCTTGAGAAGTGTATACAGTCCTATGGATGCCAGTTGCCCAATCTTACAAGGATGGATGGATGGATGGATGGATGGATGGATGGATGGATGGATGGATGGATGGATGGTTGGTTGGTTGGTTGGTTGGATGGAAATAATATATACTATATTGTCAGCTTTTTCCATTTTAATACAGCTGTAAATGAAAGTGTTGAAAAAATTAATTAAATACTTGAATGACTTCTTAATTCCTCACTGAGAAAGGATTTTCTGGCCCTGGTAGATATTTTGCACTTCTAATTATTATATCCCTAAGTATTTCTGGAACAAGTGAGATAAAGCAAGCCCAGCCTTCAGAATGCATTATCATCAAGGGGCATAGCTAGGGGCTGGAAGTGACTATAGAAAACTCATTTATCTAGTTTTCATCCCATTTACTGACTGAGATAAACATCACCAAACTGCTTGGCCTCATCAGTGAAATGCCTAAAGTGGAGATTTCATTTCAGTTGTTTAACAGCCTCTGCATGCTACCCTTCATTGGCTATGGTTAAAATTGGGATAGGAAGTTGCAGAGACTAAGGCTTTCTTCCTACAGATATCTATGTTGTACATGCAAGTGTGGATGCTCACGCTGTTGACATACTTGTCTTGCCTGCATAAAATTAGGAATCTGTTTTCAGATCTAGAGTTGAAAAGATCTTTTGGAGCAGATACAAGTATGTATTTTCTCCGAGATCATCTAGTACAGTAGCTTTGACACACTAGAAAGAGATCTATTTAAGAAGATACCAACGGCATAACCCCACATTTGTTTGAAAGCACGTTGTCATGCCCTCCAACTGGGATTCCATGGTATTGTGCATATCTAGAAAGCACATAACACCTTTCAATAGATCAGTGATGGCGAACCTTTTAGAGACCGAGTGCCCCAAAACTGGCCCTGCCCCCGCTTCAACCCCTGCCCCGCCCCACCCCGTCCCCCACCCCGCCTGCCTCTGGGGCCACTCACTGCCTCCAGGGCCCGCTGCACATCGCCCAGGCAGCCCAGCAGCGCTATGGCAGTCACGCCCTCTGCCCACGCCCCACAGCATCAACTGTGCATGATGGGGCGTGAGGGCAGAGTCTTGTCTACGCTGCCTGGCTGCCATGTCCTTGGCTGCGCTGCTCCGTATGGGCCACGCTTGGGAGTAACTTTCCTCCAGGGGGGCTGCTGGTGAGGAGGGAATCGTGGGGGGAGGTGAGGCTGGGGCAATGGCACATATGCCCACAGAGAGGGCTCCGAGTGCCGCCTCTGGCACCCGTGCTTAGGTTCGCCACCACTGGATTAGACCATTTAAATCAAGAATGGGTGATCTGTGTCTTTTATCTATTCTTCACCCAATAAGGAGCCCCTGCAATGTGGGGCAGCTCTGCCCAAGTTTTTCTTAGGCTCATATCAGCTATTAACTGAGTATTGAAAAATGCCATCAGTTTGCCACCACTGCAATAGATGGTGCATGTATGCCCATATGTATTCTGTAGAACCTGTCAATAAAACTCCAATAACCCCATAATAATGTTAGCATTAAGAAAACTGTGCAACTCCTGTATTAGAGGAAGGTCTCTATGCAAAGAGTAATAAATTTAGGCAGAGATGAGGGAGGGAGGGACCTTAAATTAGCAACTGTCAAGCACCAGGGAAATCTGGAGATTCAGGCAGTTCAAAGGAGTATAAAGATTTATTGCAAGTTTAAGCTGTTTACAAGAATCTGACCAACTGGCCATTAAGAGAAATGGGTGGGAGATAAGAAAGGCATTCAAGGTGGAGTGGACTTAGTTGTCTTCTGGGCACTCAGGGACTCATGACTTATGACGCATTTGAGCGCTCCCTCCAACTCAGCCTAGTCATCTCCTACAACAACCAAGAGAACATAATCCGGTTTTAAGGCGATGTCTTCTTCAGAAAAAAAAAAATTTTTCTATCTGAGGCTAGGCTGAAAAGCTTCTGACTTGGCACAATTTTGGTACAGAAGTCCTTTAAAGAAGAGCCTTTAACAGATCCAATAGAGACCTGATGCCTTGCGTAAAGCAGTAGCAAACTTTAGTTAGTGGGAAATAATAAGGTTATATCAATGCCTTTTTTGGATGGCACACCTTTCTTCTCTAATAACACATAATTTTGCACCTTGCCATTAAGCCAACAATTTGAACAAAAGAGAATGAAAAGTTAGTAGGATTTAGGAAATTGTATTTTTCCTCTCTTAATAAGTATAATTGAATTATGTCCTAGAGAGAGGCTTCTATCACATCAATCAAAGAAACAGGCCAATGGGATAGAAAGCAAGGAAGCACATAATTTGGATATTCCCTTTACCTACCATAACTAAGATTTCATAGTACATGTGCTTACCTGCATAGAATTCTGGACTATAGACTGCACCAACAACTGGATTTAATTTCCAACCTGTAGTAAAGAAAGACAGGAAACCAAACTTGGTAAATTGGAAGTCATGGCATGACATTCTAATGAGGTTGTGACTGTACAATTTTTATTTTATATCTTTTAAAGAATTGTATCATGTCCTTCAAAGTGAATCTTTTCCAGAATACCTTCTAAAGGTTTTTAAAAAGCCACCCCCACCCCCCAACACACACAAACACACACATAACCCCCACACAAACCCTTTAAGTGGAAATGACCATTAAATGAAGGGGGAATTTAATGCATCTTTTATTACAAAACCACTTTGTATCAATAGACTTTTTCTTCAATACCAGGATATAATTTCAGCCCATTTCATGAAAAGAAGATTCTATTTATCCCCTTAATGCAAGTCTGTATAACTCTACAAAAAGAAAAAAAAATAACTTTCTTTTCATTTGATGAACAGAGGCAATCTTCTTCCTGGTTTTAAATTGGATGGGCTTAAAAGGACTTTACTTTCACAACACACTAAATCCTAAACCTGGATTAAGAAAACTCCAGTGGTGTGCTTATATAACATGCTTGCCCTAATAAATCATTTCATGGCTTAGCATAATGGCTTGGTTTCCCCAACAATACGTGAGTTCATATATAAATGAACCGCACCTAACTCTCACGTCTGGAAGAATTTTTCCATAAAATAAGTTCACTTTTGGTAAGTTTCAGACAAAAAGATCAGGAACTTTCCCCAAGTTTTTAATGGAAGATAATAGCAGAACTCATCTTTACAAGGACTGTCTACCTATTATTTTACTGCAGTCATGTTAGGGCAAATAAATTAAAAGAAAGCATAGGTACTTGGATGAATGACTGATAGGACCAGAAACCAGACTGGCAGTGTGTGTGTGAGAGAGAAAGAGGGGGGGTAGGGAGAAAAGGAGGGAGGGAGAGAGAGTGAGAGGGAGAGGGAGAGGGAGAGAGAGAGAGAGAGAAAAGGAGGGAGAGAGAGAGAAGGTGGGAGAAAAGGAGGGAGAGAGAAAGGGAGAGAGGGAGAGAAGAGGGAAAGGCAGAGAGAGAGGAGGAATAAGAGAGAGGGAAGGAGGGAGGGAGACAGAGAAGAAGAAAGGGAAGGAAAGGGAGAGGGGAAGGGGAGAGAGGGCAAAAGAGAGAGTAAGGTAATAGCAAATCACTTCCATTTTATTGCCAAGAAATTCATCTTGGATGTGACCATTAATCATCTGCAATTGAGATTTCTTTTAATAAATAAACAAATAGAGTGTTTTGTTTTAAGAAATGATGAAGCTGTGATCTTATTGAAAGAGAGAAGTCAACTTTTCATTGGTAAGGGCCACAATTAATATTTGTGTAGACCACAATAACCAATTATGCACAATACATACCATGTAAGTTAGTAAGGCCAGCATCTTCATTTTTTTTCCCATTTGGTGGTGGGGGCCATTGTTTTGTAAAGTAAGTTAAGCTTATTCCAGGGCTAGGCTTATTATAGAGCTACACAACCATTTTTGTGTGTCTCCTGACATGAAAACTGCTGCTGAGTTTTACACAAGTGGTCAGGAAAGACTCCTGAGAAACGCAAAAAAAAAAAAAAAATAGAGTTTGAGTGGAGGTCCCGGTTGCCTACACCCTTTTTCTAAAGGATGTGCACAATTTGGTGTATCCATTTTACTTACAATGTTCTATTTTTGCCAGTTGTGCAATAACCACACAGCTAAGTTTTATAACCCCGTGAGAAAGCAAATTGCAGCCTAGGATGAGAAGGGGGGGGGGGAAGTTAAAGAAAAGGAAGAAGGAATGCAAGATTTACTTTCTTCCACCCAAATCTTCCAAGCTGATCTAAGCCAAGTACTTAACCAACAAAAGTCTTTAATTACTCAAAGTGTAATTTTCTATAATACTTTTTTAATTCTTCACTTCTGCACAGATAAGCCATTTTGGCTGGTTTTTCACATCTGTCAGACTTTTCTGTCAAAGAGGCTGAGAGATAACCTCAGACATTTTAAACTATACTAATGGCGCCTCAATTTGTCTTCGGGAAGAGAGGGGGAGATGGTGCTTGAGAAGATGCAGATCGATGATCTCAGCTGAAACCTGCACTCATATTTCATCTCCTTCCCCTACCCAATTTGATGGCTGCATCATCTAGCTTGGGGAAGCTCTCTCTGCAAAGACTTCATTTATCATGAAAATAACAGCAATTAAACTTTACTTTGTCTTGTCAATGAAGTATTTGCTGGCCCATAACTGTGTGGGTTAATCAAGTGTGAGCAAAAGTTTGACACGTACGAGTGAGGAAATGCCAAGGAATCAAGTCTTCACCATTAGAAGAGGTAAATTCACCACTGTGGGTGTAGTTCTCGGAATTTGTCTTGCTGTCACAACACTTATCTCAGGTAGAAACTTTTAGAACAGACAGGAAAGGGGGAAAAACAACCTGTCTCTTACACAGATACAGTAGATAGACTTAGTGCCCAATGAGGAAAAAACATAATTTAGCATGCATACTTACTTAACTTTATTGAGGCCATTTACCAAAAGGCCTTCTTCTTATTGTATATGTTTATTCTATAAATATATTTATGTATATACTTATTGTATATAAATATACACATACATAAATACACACATACATATTTATTTATTTATGTATACACATACATAAATACAACTAGCCTTTTAGCATTTTTTTAAATTTAATATTATCTTTTAGCCATTTTTATTTTAGTCGGTACATATGTTTCTTAACTCTCCTGGCATGGTCACTTAGATGAGGAAAATGCATTCAGTAACCAAGTTTATTAATGATGTTTCAAGCAAAACAGGTATTAGAGAGAAGAAAGAAATTCATTGAACTTCTCTGAATATGAACTTATCAATTTTTGCATTTCCATCCAGAAGGCAAAGCAAAACTTCGTTGTCATTTGAAATCTGGCATTCCCCAAATTCCCTATAACAACATATCATTATTATTTTTTTGTTTTTAAAAAAGCATATTAGAAGGGGGGAAAAGAAAAAAAAATCTATTATCTTAGGAAAGATTATTTGCATTCTTAGTTGGAGATCTTGGAAAGCTAAGCAGGATCAGACCCCCCCCCCACTGCTTAGAAATGAGACCACTGGAAAAATACCAGGTCTGTAACCTAACTTGGAGTAGGGTAAAAGATACTAAAAAGAAAGAAAACCACTATAATATGGTTGCCAAGATCACTCAATGAACAACTTCAAAGAGTTACCAGTTTGACTCAGAAGAGACTTGGCCTTTATTTGCATTTCTATCACACAGATTTGCAAACAATAAGACAGGTTTGGGTATCCCAATACCTGCAAATTATGGACAAAAGCCTTAATTAAATTCCGAGTTTATAGATTCATCAAATCTGATGAGTCAATCTTGCCTGCAAAAATAAGAAGATGGGGAAAAGCAACATTAACAGCTTCCTAATGACACCACCTAGGATCTCATTAACACTGAGTTAAAAATCTAAAAAAGGTATTTTTAGGTATTTCCCCCCCCCGCTAGGCAGAGGTTGTGGCTGTGATCTAAAAGCTTCACAGGGTAGCTTTAGCTGCAAGCATCGAAAGGAAGATGAGTAGAGAGATTGCATTTCAGTGAAGAAAATGTGGGCTTTCCTGTATGGATGACTTGGACTGTTGCTATCTTGGACAATGAAAACAAGATATGGCTCTTCTTTTATTGCATTTTCAAAATTATTATTCTGAAACTTGCAGTATTGGGCTACAATCTTCTTTGGTGGTACTGATCTTGGCTGCTCTTCTTGATCTTCTTTCCTGGCCCTTATTCCAAACACAGAGCAGAAACTCAGTGTTAAGGAGAAAGGTCTTTCTTCTCTGCCTTTTTCCTTCTTCCTTTCTTTGCGTTCCTATCTTCTGAACCTTTGGAGACTCGCCAGGGATCTCTCCCTGCCCTGAATCTCTTCCTGCACTCTCTAACTCACTGCCAGGAAATCCTTCAGAAAGATGGGCTTGTCTGTTTCACACTGTCTAAATATTGTTTCTGATAGCACAGCACACTATTAGAACAATGCCTGGACATCAATTTGGCCCTCACTCCTTATCACAAAGATAATTAGGGCAAACTTTGAACAATCCATTTTTCCCATGGTCTCTGATAGCCAGTCTAGAGAAAAGGAGGACTGGGGGGGGGAGGGTGTGACATGACAGCAGTATTCCAGTATTTGAGGGGCTGCCACACAGAAGAGGGGGTCAAATTATTTTCCAAACCACCAGAAGGCAAGACAAGAAACAACAGGTGGAAACTAACCAAGGAGAGAAGCAACCTGGAACTAAGGAGAAACTTCCTAAGAGTGAGGACAGTGGTATAGGGTCTCCTGCTTGAGCAGGGGGTTGGGCTGGAAGACCTCCAAGGTCCCTTTCAGTTCTATTCTGATTGAAAGCTTCATCTCCCTATTTCTCCTGAGAGCGGATTGGACCTCAGCAATCTGTGATCCTAGACAACCTTCAACAATGGAAAATTAAAAATTAAAAAACTGGGGGCTGCTGAAATATAGAAAGCTTATAGAAGCCAAACAAACTTGTCGGGGAAAAAAAGAGGGATTTTGTGTGAATAACTGCACGTGCAAAGATGGTACTTTTAAGAAAGCCGTGGTTAATAAGAAGAAAGAAATAAGACTTCTACTCAAAGAATGTGTGTGGATATATTCAAATATATAGATATCAAGCTAATGTAACTTAGGGATAATACTCTGTTGACCAAACAAAATAAGATGTATTGACCTGATCAAGTGTTTTTATCTGTGTGCCTTTTTTTGTAGATGATGATGACAACCACAACTTTTATCTCAGTACAGGTAGTCCTTGACTTACAACTGTTCATTTACAACCATTCAAAGTTACAACAGCACTGAATTCTTAACTGAAAAAAGTGATTTATGACCGTTTCTCACAATTATGTCCTTTGTAGCATCTCTATGATCACGTGATCAAAATTCAGATGTGGCAACAGATTCATATTTATGACCAAAGCAAAGTCAATGGAGAACCCAGATTCACTTAACAACCAAGTTACTAACTTATCAACTGCAGTGATTCACTTAACAACTGTGGCAAGAAAGGTTGTAAAATGGAGCAAAACTCACTTAACAAATGTCTCACTTAACAACTTAAATTTTGGGCTCAATTGTGGCTGAAAGTCGAGGACAACCTGCGATGGCATTTGGGGCAAAGATTTGGGAAGAAAGAACTGGTCTTCATTTGAATTGTTTGGATTAATTCATGAGAGCCGTGGTGGCGCAGTGGTCAGAATGCAGTATTGCAGGCTAATTCACTGCTTACTGCCAGGAGTTCGATCCTGACTGGCTTGAGGTTGACTCAGCCTTCCATCTTTCCGAGGTCAGTAAAATGAGGATCAAGATTTTTGGGGGCAACAGGCTGATTCTGTAAACCATTTAGAGAGGCCTGTAAAAGCACAGTGGAGCAGTATATAAGTCTAGGTACTACTCCTTCCTTCCTTCTTTCCTTCTTTCCTTCTTTCCTTCTTTCCTTCCTTCCTTCCTTCCTCCCTCCCTCCCTCCCTCCCTCCCTCCCTCCCTTCCTTCCTTCCTTCTTTCCTTCCTTCCCAGTAGTTACAATGCAACATTATAGGCTGACTCTGCCCACAGTCAGAAGTTCAATTCTGACCAGCTCAAGGTTGACTCGGCCTTCCATCCTTCCAAGTTTGGTAAAATGAGGACCCAGATTATTGGGGGCAATAGGCTGACTCTGTAAACTGCTTACAGAGGGCTGAAAAGCACTGTGAAGCGGTAGATAAGTCTAAGTGCTATTGCTATTAATTATATTTAAATCAAGCTGGTCCAGGGAGAATTGGGTCTTCTTCAAGAAAAAGCAGAAAATATTAAAAAGCAGACTTTCTCCATGATGAACTCGAACTAGCGTGATCATGATATGTCAAACCTAGCTCATATTTTGTTTTTAATTTTGCCACGATGGGTAGAGATATACATGACAGGATCATTAAAAAAAATAAAGCTGTCCACTTATCTTTGTCCCACTGTCAATGATGGAGGGAAAATATTTCATGAATGAGCTGCATAATGGGTGGAGAATGGAAATAAATATTTTGCAGTTGATTCTTTCTCTCTCTCTCTCTCTCTCTCTCTCTCTCTCTCTCTCTCTCTCTCTCTCTCTCTCTCTCTCTCTCTCTCTCTCTCTCTCTCTCTCTCTCTCTCTCTCTCTCTCTCTCTCTCTCTTTTAAGAAAAATCAGGGGAATCAGATACTTCTTCAGAAAGCTACAGGATATTGGAAACAGGCCAAATGGAAGGTTGTGATATGCTCACTTGCAAGGCTTTCAAAAGAATTGTTCAAAAGCCGAAATTGACACCCCAGGAAAAAGAAAAAGAGGAAAGTATAGAGACAGAAAAGTTTCTGTTGCTGTTATAAAGTACAACAAAGGATCAGGACTGCAAGAACTTTTAATCATTCTTAACTGACAATAACAAGGGCAGCAATTAGAGTATTTGGCTAGGAGCCAGAAGAGAAAGTTCAGCTCTCTGCTTGATCCTGGCAGTATCCATGACGCTTAGTTCAACCCACTTCACTGTGGATATTTGGGTAAAACAGGGGAGAACGGAATACGGAGGAAGAGTGTGAATATGAAAATGGAGAAAACACAAACTTTATACTGATCAGTTCTATGAGCAATATTTATATTGAGCAGTTAAGGAACCTGCACAATATGCTCGTTGCTTCCTGCATTGTACGCGACACAAAAAAAGAAATGGAAAGTAATCTTTCTCTGTTCCTTAAGGGAATGTACAGTTATCCAGGACCAATGTTTGAAATTGCAGGGGAATAGAAGCAAGACAGACATTACATATTAGGAGGGATTTTTCAGAACTACCAATTGGTGGAAGAGGTTGCCTCCTGAAGTTACAGGTTTATCTTCAATTGGAGTCTTCAAAATAAGCCATCTGTCCAAGATGCTTTCAGAGATCTTGCTCAGATAGAATGATTAAGATCCAGTCTACTGAATCAAGGAATGTTTTGTAACATAAATCAGAGGTCTCCAAACTTGTGGACTTCAATTGCCAGAATTCCCCAGCCAATGGAAGAATTCTGGGAGTTGAAGTCCATAAGACTTAAAATTGCCAAGTATGGAGACCCTTGACATAAATCATAGCCTGATTAGTGTAAAATGAGCAGGATAGGTAACATTATCATCAATTTGCTGATAATATCCATATATACATCTCCAGTCCTTGATGGTCAGGACATGTTTGCTGACTGAGTACTTGACAGTTGGTGTCTGGATGGGGAGAAACCCTGGCAAGAAGGAGAGTCTATGGGTCTTTGCTCCCTTCCCTGGCCCAGAAGATATGTCATCTTTGACACTGGATTGGGGGGCACTTTCAAGCTAGAATGCAATGTGAGGGCTCTTCCTTGGCTCACAAATCCTGCTCAAGAGCAGGTAGCAGCCATGACTGTGTGTGTGTGTGTGTCTTTGTACAGATTTTTGTTTGTGTGTCAATTGCACCCTTTCCTAGACCAGGGGGCCTTGCTCATGGTCACATGGTCACTTGATCACTTCCTGTTTGCGTTACTGCTTGACATGGGGCTGCCCTTGAAGGATGCCTGGAGATGACCACTGGTCCAGAATGTGGAGAGGTACGCAATAGCATCAAAATCATGAGAAGTGATAGTATGCTTTTACACTGCACTGATAAAACCACACTTGGAACACTGCATCCAATTCTGGTCACCACAATACAAAAAAAGATGCGGAGATCCTAGAAATTGTGTGCAGAGAATAGCAACAAAGATGATAAGGAGTCTGAAGGCTAAACCACACAATGAACTGTTGAGGGAACTAAGTAGGCCTAGCCTAATGAAGAGAAGGTTTAGGGGTGATGTGGTAGCTGTCCTCCAGTACTTGAGGAGGCTGTCACAAAGAAGATAAGGTCGACTTTTTCACCAAAGCACCAGAGTGGCAGGACAAGAACCAATGAGTGGAAGATCGTTAAAAACAGACTCCATGAACTCAATCAAACTTTCCATACCTTACTATGGAATCCAGTTGTTCAAAATGAGCTCTAGAAAAAGGAATGTAGGTTGTTAAATATTTTTTTCTAACTGGGAGGCTGATTTGAGTTGAGGCAGCCACTTCAAAGACTTGACCTATTTAAATGCTGCAATATCACCTTGAGCAGCCATATCAATAACTCTTTGGTTGAAAGCTTCCTTGGCTTTTAGATCTGACTGGACTGGAAATTGGATGGAGAATTCATATGTAGAGATGACATTTGAAAGTCGGGTGGCCCAAACCCAAGGTTCATGGAATTGGGTATGTCTAGTTTAATGAAGAGAAGGATGAGGGGGGACATGATAGCAGCGTTCCAGTATCTCAGGGGCTGCCCCAAAGAAGAGGGAGTCAAGCTATTTTCCAAAGCCCCTGAAGGCAGGACAAGAAGCAACGGATGGAAACTAATCAAGGAGAGAAGCAACCTAGAACTAAGGAGAAACTTCCTGATAGTTAGAACAATTAACCAGTGGAACAACCTGCCTCCAGAAGCGGTGAATGCTCCAACACTGGAAGTTTTTAAAAAGAGACTGGACAGCCATCTGTCCGAAATGGTATAGGGTTTCCTGCCTGAGCAGGGGGTTGGACTAGATGACCTCCAAGGTCCCTTCCAACTTTACTATTATTATTATTATTATTATTATTATTATTATTATTATTATTATTATTATTATTATTATTTGTTAATTCATAGATCATGATCAAAATAATTAGGTTAAACTAAATAAAAATGAGGTTTGTCTTGGATAGGCCCAGTTTTTCTACCTCCTGTTTAGACGGCTTACAGGCCATCCTCAACTTAGGACCACAACCAAGGCTCAAATGTCTGTTGCTAAGTGAGATGGTCATTAAGTGAGTTTTGCCCCATTTTACAACCTTTCCTGCCACAGTTGTTAAGTGAATCACCACAGTTCTTAAGTTAGCAACCCGGTTGTTAAGTGAATCTGGCTTCCCCATTGATTTTGCTTGTCAGAAGGTTGCAAAAGAGGATGATATGACCCCAGGACACTGCAACGGTCATAAGTATGAACCCATTGCCGAGCATCTGAATTTGATCCTGGGGATGCTGCAACAGTAGAAAGTGTGAAAAATAGTCATAAGTCACTTTTTGCAGTGCTGTTGTAACTTTGAATGGTTGCTAAATGAACTGTTGTAAGTTGAGGATTGCTTGTATGTAGGTGACCTGGATAAGGTTATGTAATCAGATCAGGAGATGGAAGCTAAAAAAAAAACCCCAACTGATATTTCTAGTTCTTACCGTTTGTGTAAGGGTTAATTGTCTTCTTATTCGTCATGACCCGTGCCGTTGCGTTATTTACCTAAGCACATAGAAAACAAGAAATCAGCACCACTTCTTTGAGATAAAAAAGTCCATGATGATAGTAATGAATGCATGCTTTATTTTTGGCATTAATCATGTTTAAATGCAATTTAATTTATTTCCCCCAAATTAAAAAAAAATAATAATAATAAAACTAATAAAAGGCAGGAGGCGCATAACAAAATCATACTATTTATAATTACATTTACTCTCATCACCATTTTATAAAACGTACAAATCATTTCAATAAAGTATAACACCATTTCCTTTAAAGTTTAATAAAGCGACATTAAAAGCAAATTAAAAGGCTTTGCATAATTGAAGATTTAAGAGCATGCTTTTTTTTTTAATTCCATGGTAACACTGAAACGATAAAATATTTAAAAACAGAAACATTTAAAAAAAAAGAAACTGTATGAAAGAGCATGCAATGGAGTAGAAAGGGGAAAGAGACAAGGTACGCAAGGAAAAAAAAATAAGTAACATCAAAAAGGAGAACGAAAAAGTAAAAAATAAAATAAAATAAGAAGGACAAATCTTAGCATTGTGCAACATAACCCTTTCGAAATGTACCATTGGAAAAGCAACATGTAGCATTCAACACTGGGGGCGGGGGGGGGGACACACATGAGCCTCGTTTATTCATTGCAAGAAAAACTAACAAAACCATTCAAGCTTTCAAAAAACCACAGCTAACGAAAGGATAAAATAGGGTGCATTATTTAACACAATATGGAATTCACAATCTGAGTAAGATGTGCACAAAAAAAGTCATATCCTTAAGTTCAGTCAGTGTCTCCAAGGCTTGCTTTAAAACGGACACTCAAATTGACAGGCGTACCGAGATATAGAGATATAGATATAGAATAATAATAAGAATAATAAGAATAATAATAATAATAAAAAAAATAGAGCATCAAGAAAACTTAAGACGACAAGTCAAAAAAATTCATGTGGTAGATATCAGCGCTTTAGAAAAGAGACGTGAAACGGCAGATGGACTTGTCCACTTACCAGTCAGCACCATCGCCAGCATGGGGCATGTATACAGTTACCATGGTTACTGAGATGGTGAGGGCCCTAACAGCTACCGCCGAAAGGGGAGAATGGAAAGGCAAAATATGCAACATCTTACTCAAAAGACGACAGCAATTTTCAATTGGTTTTTTTTTCTTTCTTTTTTTTTCGCTTTTAAGATTCTAACAAATACAACTCAGGCAGTGTTGAAGTGGATCCAGTGGTTTAAGGGTATACAGATATAGATATATATATTTATCTCTTTCTATGCAACGAGATGATTGCTTTTGGGAGTGAAAATTAGAAGGACCTTTAAACCTGAGAACTTTGGTTGGGCATTTTTGTCCAAAATGGAAACAAAGGTCCACGTTTGTTTGTTGAATCTAAGTGAACGACTTATTCAAATGGGATTTTTTTTTTTTCTGGGATAGCCAAAAGATAATTTGGAAAGCCACTGTAAATCCTGCATCAAACCTGCAATGAAAAGAAAAGGAAGGAAAAACAAAAGAAATAGAATTCCCAAATAAAGGTTAAAAAAAAAATGTTCAACACACACGCACAAATAAAATAATGCCTTATTGTTTTGCTTCAACATTTAATTTTGAAAGTTTTTCCAATTTTTTTTTTTATTATTATTGCACCCATCAACTTACAAAACCTTTCATATCATAGCACGGTATTAAAGCTCGTCACATGTCTGGCATACATTTTTGTAGCTGTAATTATGATGGTTAAAAAAAACTGAAAATAATAATAATAATTTAAAAAAAGATACGGAAAGGAAATAATAAAATAACAAAACCAAGTTAGGCCAGGTATATATATATATATACATATATACATACATATACGTACCTACCTACATATAATATATATATATATAAAATTGTATATTATACAATATTGTATCATATTACATAATATAGCGTAATCATATCTATATATAACATATTCCATATATATATGTGTGTGTGTATATATATATATTTATATATAAAATATCTCAATGGGAAGGAAAAGGGAAACACAGAAGAGACATTAATGATGCATCTGAAACAACGAATGAGAGTGAGGCAAACATTTATAAAAAAGATGAAAAGGAATATTTTGAACATGCACCTCAATTTTACGGCCCTCTACCACGGTGCCGTGTAATTTCTCCCTCGCCTTTTCCGCATCAGCACTATTTTCGAAAGTAACGAAACCAAATCCCTGCATGCAGGTGGGAAAAGGGAAAATAACATGCATATCATTATTTCAGACAACGACCACTTCTTTGCTTATGTTTTTCTTTCTTTCTTTCTTTCTTTCTTTCTTTCTTTCTTTCTTTCTTTCTTTCTTTCTTTCTTTCTTTTTCTTTCTCTCTGCCTCCCTTTCTTTCTTTCTCTCCTCTCTCACTCCCTCTTTAATTTAATTGGCTCTCGTTCTTTCTTCATTTCTGTAAACATGCAAATTAGAAAGAAATTATAATCATACCAAGAGATGTGCAATTAAGAAAGCAACCAATGTAAACAACTTTTATCTTTCTTTTTTTTTCACGAGTTAGTTTATCGTCTCCTGAAGAATATCAAAGAATGAACACCAAATACCTTTCATTTTTTTTCTCTAAATTGTCACTACAGGGGAAAAGAAATCTAATAAAAAAAAAGAAAAACAAAACAAGTTCAAATCAATGGAACCATGTCATCACATTGAAAACAAAACTAAGAAGAAAATGGTAAGAAAAGAAAGTGGAATCACTTTTTTAAGGGCATGCAGATCTGGTCAACAGAATAATAAAACTGTGCAAATTAAAATGTGGGTACCGAATTCAACACTCAATGCAAACCCAATTGAATATATTGGCTAGTTTGATGTGTCATTGTGGAGCAAAATAATAATAATAGAATAAGAATTTCTCACATGCAACACTGGAGTTGTTTATAATTGTGATGTCATCTACCGTATTTACTTCTTTTGTTCTTAAAAAAAAGAAAATGAGAGGGGGGAAACAAAGGAAACAAACAAACAAACCAAAAGCTACCAACAAAACAGAATTGGGTTTGAAACTAAACATAACCTTTCTATAGTTAATATAATTATGTAGTATGAATAAATAGATAACACAGATCAGAATGCAAATAATCATTCCTGAACGATATCTGTAGTGTTTTTCATTCAATAATAGTAGACATTTATCACAAGGTTGATTGAAACACAGTTGGTGTTCCATATGCAGTGAAATGTTGGAACCATTGGAAGTTTGTTTGTCCATCTCCTGAAATAAATTGAGAGCTTGCTGTCAATCAGGAAGAGGGTTGGCTGTTATTTTATCCAGCCAATGAACACATTCAGAATTTCGAGAACATTCTGACCAAATGGCTACCATGAGATGCTGGCACATTTACAGATGGCTGCTATAGTAGACCTAAGTCTCAAAAACAAATTGGGGAGGTTATCGTCCTCCACCCCTCATAAGATAAACATGTGGTCTATTTATAATTACATGGTTTTCTTTCGGGTTTTTGTTGTCGTTGCAGCTGTTCCTGAACAGGTGGACACCTTCAAACAAAGCACTGTGTGGAAGCCACCAACTACTTACAACAAATTTTCTAAGAATATAATGAGGCCTCTCTGGAATATATTATTTTTATCCAAAAAAAACCAAAAAAAAAAAACCAAGAAGCGGATGATTAGCAATAGGTTAGCTTCCCATTTAGGTTTTTAGAATTTTTTAAAAAAAATAGAGGTGGGCACCAAAATGGATTCAAAAGTCTCTGCCCAATTTGTGGATGGAGAAATTGGATAGATGATATCTCCACATTGCTGCGGGGTAAGGAAAACTCTAATATCTTAAAGAAGTTCTCCAAAATCACAGCCCTGAATGTATTATCTGTGTGGGTAAGGAACCCTCAAAAAAACTGAAAAACCAAGTTCGGAAAACTTCCCCGCTGCATTCCTGAGCTACACAAATTTCTACCATTGCAAGGAGAAGATTCCCTCCATAACTTCTCAAAGCAAGATTTCTTTCTAGCAATGGAATTCTGATTTTCTGATCGATCTGAAATGTGGGAAGCTGCAGATCGCTGAAGAGTTGGTTACACAATCCAAGATGAGACATGCACACATCTTCTTGGTTGCTAAATAAATGTAAAAACATCCCATTCAGCCAATAACAATTTCTTGGAAAGAATGTCATCAGATGAGAACTGATGCTTTTCTTAATTTGCAGGAGGGGGGGAGGTTCTGCCCAAACAGATGAATATAGAGAAATGGAGTAAAGGATCCTGCTGAATTGACTCTATTTCTGTGGTTAACTCATGGTTTATGTTGGCTCTCCATTACAGAGATATTGGCATTTTGCACTTGGTTCACACTTTGGTTTATAAGATGTAAGAAAGTCCAAGGTTGTCTTCATCAATTCACTGCATATCAGAACTGCTAATTATTTATTATTAGAATTTGCTTACAGTATTATGCTTGGGGTGAATAGAAAACATTTGCAGGCTGCCCATAATGGAAATGAAAGAGGCCATCTCTAAATTTATTGGTCAATGTATTTCCACCAAATTATTTCCATGAAATGCAATCCAATACAAGTAAGCATAGGTGGTGATAAACATTGATCTACCATGCTAGGAACAGCAACTGGAAGATTTTGTCTCAGCAACAATACATATTAGATTTCTTATTTATTTCAAAGGAGGCAGCAGGATTGTGGGCTAACCTTTCACTGAAGTGTAATGCTCACTTCTTGATTCTCCTCAAGGAGGTGACTATCACTAGAACAACAGGGTATCCTTGAGATTATTTCAGGAGAAGGATATATTCAACAGGAGATCCTTCTTCAAGTGAGAACATCTTCATCTGATCCACTGAGAGTTAAAATGTGTTCCAACACAAATTTCTGCTGTAGCAAATAGATACATATACAGACACACAAACACACAAACACACAAACAAATTCATTTGCTAGAGCAGAACATTATCTATCTGTCTGTCTGTCTGTCTGTCTGTCTGTCTGTCTGTCTGTCTGTCTGTCTGTCTGTCTATCTATCTATCTATCTATCTATCTATCTATCTATCTATCTATCTATCTATCTATCTATCTATCTATCTATCTCAGGGGTGTCAAACTGCCGGTCCGCGGGGCAGATGCATCACGCCAAAACTGCGCCCATCCCATTGCCGGCAATGGGAAAAAAGTCACGATACGTCGTGACACATCATGTGACGTCGCAAGTTTGACACCCGTTATCTAGCTATCTAGCTATCTCTATCATCTATCTAACATTTATGTATCATCTAGCTATCCATCTATCCATCCATCCTCTCTCTTTCTCTCTCTCTCTATATATGTATCATCTATCATGTATTCATCCAACCTCTCATTCTCTCATCCATGTATCATCATCTATCTATCCATCTATTCATACATTTTCTCTCTCTTTTCATGTATCATCTGTCATCTATCTATACATCTATACGTCCATCCTCTCTCTATCATCCATGTGTCATCTATCATCTATTCTCTCTCTCTCTCTCTCTCTCTCTCTCTCTCTCTCTCTCTCTCTCTCTCTCTCTCTCTCTCCTCTTATCAAGAAATTCAATTTCTTGATGACTGAGTATCCTCTACATGTAAGATACACCGGAGCAATAATGGATAGAAAACGGTTGGTTCCAGCTCCTGTTTGTAGGCTTCCTAGAAGCTGAGTAACCATGTGAAATAGAATATGGGGCTATCATCACCTGCCCATTTTTGAAGGAATAAGAATGATGTGTACTTATTTTTGAAATAAGTACACATAACTGATTCAGCTGCACCATCTAACTACTGTGCACTGACAGGATGAATTGATAAATTGCATAAATCTGCTTTTTTTTCTTATTAGTTTTGGGAGTGATGGTGAGAGAAACAACCATCCCAAAGATTGGTATGGAACACAAGTGGGGTACAGTTCAGGTGGCGGCCCCTTAAAATTTTATGGGATGGTGAGATGGGATTCCCCTTCTTGATAGTCTGCTGAGTTTTTCCGTACTCAGCCCCCACACTGTCTAGACATGTTCCAATGATAAAATGATCTTTCCCCATGATACTCCCTTGGAATGAACCGATATTCTCCAGAGACCCTTGAATAAATTTGACTAAATTTTAAGACTTTGGGGGATATTAAAAAGATGAAGAGCAGGGAAAGATTTACACAGCTCTAATTATTCTCTTCTGAAAACATTTTTTTAAAAACTCCCTATAATGTTTCCCACCTGATTTTACAGAGAGCAAAGATTGTGCGGCGGGGGGGGGGGGAGGAACAGGGTAGGAATTTAATCTTTATTTAATCTGGCAGTTTTGCCTTAATTCCCTAATTGTCATATCTGATTTGCACCTAAAGTTAAGTTGAGTGACATTTTACTTCAGGGAAAGAGATCTTGACTTTCTCTATGGAGATTCTCAGTCATCCAGGTCATAGTTGTCTCAAAGGTGGTTTTTCAAAAGGCAACTGGACTGTTTAACTGAGCAAAATGATTCATGTAATACAATGCAATGAGACATGTGCAGATCTATACATTGGTGGGGAAAAAAAACTCCTTCACAAACACATGGCACAACATAAGAGAACAAACCCATCAGGACCGGATTTAGCAGCCCATCTGCATTTGAAAGACTAACGCCCCTCTTATAATAATAATAATAATAATAATAATAATAATAATAATAATAATAATAATAATAATAATAATAATAATAATAATAATAATAATAATAANAGGAAGTTTCTCCTTAGTTCTAGGTTGCTTCTCTCCTTGATGAGTTTCCATCCGTTGATTCTTGTCCTGCCTTCAAGCACTTTCCAGAATAGCTTGACTCCCTCTTGTTTGGGGCAGCCCCTGAGATACTGGAAGGCTGCTATCATGTCCCCCCTCATCCTTCTCTTCATTAAACTAGACATCCCCAATTCCAGCAGCCTTTCCTTATATACTTTAGCCTCCAGTCCCCTAATCATCTTTGTTGCTCTTTTGAAGATAGCAAAGTCCACATTCTGGATAGAGAAGGCCATTGGTTTGAAAGAGGGGTAAAAAGAGGCCATTTATGTTAACAATGAGTAACCCTCATTCAACAGAGGGGGAGGGATAAGATACCCCCAGTCTAAAACACAGTCCTTTCACCAGTTCCAAGAAGCTTCCACAACCAATTGCACTCTTATTCAGGTGACCCTGAGGGCACAGATAAGCCCCCAAGTGGCTTCAAAAGTTCTCAGAGGGAGTGCTAACAACCAGATGATTGCAAATAAATATAATCCTTCCAACCCTCCCCCCCAAACCTGTCAGAACTAATCCTTTCAACACCAACATCCCGCCAGAACCAATGAAGTTTCTTATATGAGAAGTTAAATACCTCCTTCCTCCTCCTCAAGGGGGAAAAAAACAGTCCAGTTGATTTTCGAAAAAGCATCTTTGAGAGACAATCTTGATTTTCTCGTTTTCTAGACATCAATTTGCTTTTTTCTTTTTAGTACCTTTGAGTCTGTTTTGACTCCTGGTAACCGCCTGGATGAGTCCCTGCAGTTTCCTTAGCAAGATTTCAGAAGCGGTTTTTGTCCTTGCCTCCTTCATAGGGCTGAGAGGGAATGACTGGCCCAAGGTCACCCAGCTTGCTTTGTGACTCACAGTCTCCCAGATTCTAGCCTGGGGTTTTAAACTCCACACCCAACTGGCTCTCATCCATTAACAATATCCCATAATTTATTATGTTCCTTACTGTGGGACACATCTTCAGACAGCCTCCCACATTTGCTGCCAGCAATGAAATGAATACTTCAGCTGTGACTGCACAACCTGGAAGCCCATATACAAAACATTCTCCAATTGGGAGGCCTGGACTCATCTTTTAATGAAAAATTACTAATCCAATAACTCACCCTTCCAAAATGTATTTAGCATAATACTTTAAGCAATTCATACTAGCTTTACACACTGGAACAGATAGGACCTGGCAGCTTCAACTTCCAAATTTACCATTTTGACAGAAAAAAAAAGCGACATTTCCTTGATATCAAAACAAAAACAAAGGAAGAGAAACAAAAAACATGTTCACACCATGTACATCAAGGACATTGTGAAATAACAGGAGACATTGGCAATATCATTTTAAAACTTTCGACCCCAAATAATGCTACATGGGTGGATTCTCTAAGAGAAAGGAGTTGAGAATTTGAGGGGAAGCCATTACATGTCTGTAATATTGTCATGTAAACTTCCGAAGGTATGGATAGAGAGCTGAAAACCTTGAGATGGTGGGTCCTTTGTCCTCTGAGCTTGGTGGTTTTCTTGCAGACATTTCATTACCAAACTGTATCACCATATCACAAAAAAAGATATTGAGCATTTGGAAAAAAATCAGAGACGATCTACTAAGATGATCAGGGGCCTGGAGACTAAAACATACAAAGAACGGCTATGTGACTTGGGTTTGGCTAGTCTAAAGAAAAGAAGAAATAGGGGAGACATGATAGCAGTATTCCAATATCTGAGGGGCTGCCACAAGGCAGAGGGGGCCAGGTTGTTCAGAGGGAAGGACGAGAAACAATGGTTGGAAACTGATCAAAAAGAGAAGCAACCTGGAATTAAGGAGAAACTTCCTGACAATGAGGGCAATCAACCAGTGGAATAGCTTACCCCCAAAGATCATGGGCGCTCCATCACTGGAGATTTTCAAGAGGAGACTGGACATTCACCTGTCTGAGATGGTATAGGTTCTCCTGCTTAAGCAGGGGGCTGGACTAGAAGATCTCCAAGGTCCCTTCCAGCTCTATTCTATTCTATTCTATTCTATTCTATTCTATTCTATTCTATTCTATTCCATTCCATTCCATTCCATTCCATTCCATTCCACTCCACTCCACTCCACTCCACTCCATTCCATTCCATTCCATTCTATTCACTAGGTAAGATCATCAGTGCTTGGTAATGATGTCACCTAGTTTGGTAATGAAATGTCTGCAAGAAAACCACCAACCTGAGAGGGCACAAAGGAGCCTACAGGTCAACTCTGAACTACAAATATTCTCTTCTAGGAGAACCTTGAGGTTGGGCGATGGACAATAATGCCAAAGCACAATCCATATTCTTGGTCTAGTGAAAATTTCTCAGTTGGGGCAGAGATCCTGCCCACCATATGACCTGAGAAGAATCTCAGTTTGGCCTCAAAGGACCAGGGGATTCAAATTACCATACAGGTAATCCTTAACTAATGACCACAGCATTTCTGAGAGGAGCGCCTTACGACGACAACTGAGCTCAAACTTTCTGTTGCTAAGTGAGACATTCGCTAAGTGAGTTTCGCCCCATTGTACGACCTTTCGTGCCACAGTTGTTAAGTAAATCACTGCAGCTGTTAAGTTAGTAACACGGCTTGCAAAGGGAATCAGGCTTTCTCAGTGACTTTGCTGTCAGAAAGTCACAAAAGGTGATCACTGTGGCCATCATAAATACATGCCCCCAAATTCTGATTACATGACCAGGCTGAAATGGTGGTAAGTATGAAAAACGGTCATAAATCAGTTTTTTCAGTACCTTTGTAACTTTGAATGGTCACTAAGCAAAAAGTTGTAAGTCAAGGACTATATGTATTTCAGGTAAAAACAAACTAGTTACAGGTAGTGTCAGGCCCACCATTCGTACTCTGGTGTCCTGCCATCGTGCTGAGGAGGGGAGGGGGGAATGGCATGCTTGGGAATTTGGGAGGGGGACTGTCTTCGCAGATGGGATGGGCTCCTTCCCAGCTGGTTCTTGCCAGGTTCCAAGGCCGTTGTGCCCTGAAAGTGACCTGTTATCTGCCCAGCAGCTCAGCATTCTCAAAACATCTTTTCGGCATCACATTGGCTGCCAGTGGACTGGTCAAGCGGGTTCGGATTGGGAAACTGAAAGAATTGCTTTACGCTTTGTGTGGGACCTTCAGACCTTACTGCATCCAGTTTCTCTCAGTAAAACTTCTTTTGATTCAACTTGACGGATTCAAAAGTCTTGCTTTCCTGAGGGCCTGGCTGGGGCAGGTCTGACAGGTAGTCCTTATGACTGGTTATTCAGAGACTGTTCAAAGTTAGGACCAACCCCCCTCCAAAAGGGTCGGGCCCCTCAGTGGTCATGTGGCCAAACTTTGGGTTCCTGGCAACACCGTTGCCCATATGGCCATTTGCAGTATCCCATATTCATGGGATTGTATTTTACGACATTTTTTTTTTAAAAAAATATGGCCCTTACATCCAATTTTTCGGCAAAGCTGTGCCCATAGCAAACCATTTTAATGATTACAGTATCCACTTAATGAGCATGGCAATTACTTTACAACTGCCATGTTCACTTAACAACTGTCACAAAAAGGTCATAAAATCAGGTCGGTTATGTGACGTAACTGGGCTGCTTTACAACCGTTACAACATATGAGCCTAACAGACAGGCTCCATTACGGTTGTACGTCAAGGATACCTGTAAGGATAACTATTCTCTCTTATAGGATTAAGTATTAACTCAGTCGCAAGGAGAATTTTGCGAGCCTCACTGATTAATTATATTTGAGCAACCAAATATTTTTGTTTTCACTCTAGCTTACAGTATATCTAACATAAAGCCAATAGAGTACATGTTAAATTTGCCTGCCAGGGGCTTCAGAGGGAGGGAGTCAAAAGACAAAGGTCACAGTTGTATGATCAAAGCCGTCCCCCCACCTCTGTATATATGTTGAAGTTATGTGCAAAGCACAATGGGGTGAGGTTTTGCTTGTGCAGCCACAACTGCCTTCTTGAGGCTTTTGACACCCCCCCCCCACTGAATAACCCTAGGAAGCGTGAATGCACCCCACTGGATGGATAATTTATCAATCCAGCCGTATGATCTAGTTCTAGTATAATATAATAACAGTATAATACAGTGTAGGAAAATGGGGCAACTATATATGTGGGTTTAAATGGAAATTAAGTACGCAATGTCAGTATCGGGAAAATCTTTCACCTTTCAAATTAGGAAAACAAAAACATATCTTTAAATTCAGAAACAACTTTGACTAAACATGCAAACACTGGCAATTTCATAATTCATCCTTGATCGAGTAATTGCTTCAGAGGATATTAAATTATATTATTTGCTTCCATTTCAAGAGCAGCGTATCTGTTCTAATGATCCATCTCTCCTCACTGCAAGCTTGAACTAATCTCACAATGAATATGGCAATTATTGGAGATGGGAAAGGAACTCAGCAGACAACACTTGATTATATTTAAAAGCAGAAAGCAATATTCCTATTTAACTGGTGGCAACTCATCTTCGTTAAAATTATCCCTTGTAAGGGACTCAGAATTAGACCAATAAATTTCTTGCTGTTTGGGTAAATGGCATCCCTCATCCCCTCAAAAAACCTGAGATATTTAAGGAGGTTTTAATACTCTTGTGTATTTGCTTCCTCTGATTTTTCAGTAAACACTTTCAACTCATTAAACATTTCCACAAGTTTATTCAGTTGCTTACCTTTGAGCCTCGCTCATTAAAAATAATTTCAACATCTAAGATTTTACCAAATTGCTGCAAAGAAAAAGAAAAGTTGCATGAGCATTGATAAAAAAAATGTTACGAGGAGCATTTAAATTTGTATGGCAGGAACATTTCTTCATTTTAAGCAATGTTTACCAAGGGAAACTAAATGAATACTGAAAGACTTGCATGTTTATGCAAACCTTTAAAAGGAGGTGTGATTGGTATCAATATTACCTTACTTAAGTCCCAGGTAAAATCTGTTTGGGCCATTTTTATAATTGGGGTTGTTTTCTTAAAGCATTTGGAGCCTTCTGCATAACACAGTTCATAATTTTTGTTGTTGAATTTGTTGAATTTTTATTTGGAACTTTTTTTTTTACAATCTGTAAACAGCCCTTACTATCAAAAGATGAAGGGCTAAGCAACAATGTTCTACCTGTTACATATTTTAAATTATTTATCCCTCTTCCAAAGAGTTTCCCATGAAAACATTTTAACACCAAAAAAAGCAGCATAACATCCACATTTTTTTTAATCTTCTTAGGATACTGTTGGTAAAAGATTGTGCCAAAAACAAATTCTCTGATACAGTTAAATATGCACGCTTTCCATTCTTTGTGCTTTTCTCCATTTCTTCTCTTTAATTAAAAGCAAAATAAAATAATAACAAGTTAATCAAGACATTAAAATAATTAAAAACAACACCTGGATGGCAGAGGTAAGATTAATTAATAAGCATCATTGCAGGATAAATAAAAAGCTGGCATCGTTTGCAGATTGCAAGCTGCATCTGGTTTAAAGGATGTCCTCTGAAAAGTAAGCTCAAGGCAAAAGCTACCTTTGGTTTGATTAAAATTTAATTTAAATGAAAATTAAATAGGATTCAATACGTTAATAGAGCTATATTTCCCATCTGTCACATTAGGGATGGCAGTTTCTCAGCAGACTGTAGACAGGATCTGTGGGATATATTCTCTCATAGAAGACGTTGTCCCTAAAACTATAAATCAGTGGTCTTCAAACTTGGCCCTTTTATGACTTGTGGACTTCAACTCCCAGAATTCTGGGAGTTGAAGTCCACAAGTCATAAAAGGGCCAAGTTTGAAGACCCCTGCTGTAAATTGTAGATCCTTGTAAAGGAAGATTGCCTAGTAATGTTGAAGTTAGGCAGATGTATCTCTCACAAACTGGTAGATAACAAATCCTGACTCAGGGTTTCCAAAATTCTCAAGCCAGCTGAAGTCTACACATCTGAAAGTTGCTGGAGATGAGAAGCACTGAAGTAGATGAATAATTTGTGACAGAGCTTTTGCGAAGAGTTACAGATCCCACATTGAAAAGGCAACTTATTATTTTTTGCGAATCAAATTGATTTTCCAAATTGGATCACTGATTTTAACTGTCAAATCAAATAGGTTGCCTCCAAATGCAGCTGAGAATTTGGTGGCTTTTGTCAAATGGAATGAATGTGCTCTAGTCAGACTGATTTGGCAATCCAGACTGAAAATTTGAACTGAGTCAATTCCAAGTTGATCAAGTCAAACAGACAATTTGCAGTAGATCTTACTGGCATACTCCTTATTTATGGCTTCTGAAGCCAGCGTGCTCTCTCTTCAATCACTGTTTTCTCTGCTACCCAATGAATCTGTAGAATATTTGGTGCTCTTTCAATAAAGGTTCAATAATTTTGAGAAGCCATAGCAAGACCTGGGGGGCCCACTCTTAGGAAGAACATATTAATTGTTATGTTTTTCTAACATCGTTGGCGAAGATCAGACTCTAAATGTTTTCCAGGTTTTGCCAAAAAACAATATTTAATTTAGTGACTCTTATTTCTCTGACATTGTCCTCTGTTGTCTTCTTGGTCACAGACAATGTGTCCCATTTGTCCAAGTAGATCTCAAAATAGCAAAATGAAAAAGTAAAACTGAACTAGTTATACTTAACCTAGGCAATCATTAGAACAACTGGCAATTCTAAGAAGACAGATGCCACCTAGTAAGTCATGCTTGAATAGACAGTGGTAGGAAATAGGTCAATAAAGATTAACAATTGATTATTATTATTTTTTTTTTAAAAAAAATGAATTTTCATAAAACTGGTAATTCCCAAGAATTCCTGCTGTGGTCCTCTTCTTTCTCCAAGCAACACTCTGATCCCAGTCAAAGTTGTGTTGTTTTTCCCTTCTCTTTTCTAGAAGGCAGAATTTCTTTTAGATGCACAGTGGAGAAGATAGGAGAAGGTGGGCTTATTTTTGTTGTTGGGGTGCTCTACCTGTCACACACATGTCCTTGCCCCTGCTTGAATGGAAGACCATGTTCATTCTTTGGAACAATTTTTGGAATGATTGTGTAACCATCTGGTGTCCAAAGGGGCGCCTCTGATTGTCGATTTGCAGGACCAGAAGAGGGAATAGCTTCAGATCATCGGTGCTTATTTATTTTCAATGCTGCTTTCTCGTCAGAAGACCTAACAATGGTCTATTTTTAATTAGTATGTGTGTATGTGAACGAAAGAGAGAGAGTCTGCACTTAGCTCCTTGTGTGTGTAATAACACAGAGACAAATCATCCTCACTATCTTACAGTAACAGAATAACAGTTGGAAAGGACCTTAGATGTCATCTTGTCCAACCCCCTGCACAAGCAGGAGACCCTATACCAGGGGTAGTCAACCTTGGCTCTTTTATGACTCGTGGACTTCAATTCCCAGAATTCCTGAGCCAGCTTAGCTGGCTTAGGAATTCTGGGAGTTGAAGTCCACGAGTCATAAAAGAGCCAAGGTTGACTACCCCTGCCCTATACCATTTCAGACAGATGACTGTCCAGTCTCTTCTTGAAAGCCTCTAGAGATGGAGTGCCCATGACTTCTGGAGGCAAGCTGTTCCAATGGTTAATTGTTCTCACTGTCAGGAAGTTTCTCCTTAGTTCTAGGTTGCTTCTCTCCTGGATTAGTTTCCATCCATTGCTTCTTGTCCTGCCTTCAGATGCTTTGGAGAATATTATTTATTTATTATTTATTTATTTATTAATTTAATTTATATACCGCCCTTCTCCCGCAGGACTCAGGGCGGTGCACAGCGTATTAAAAACAGTACAAATACAAAGCATAGTTTGTGACAATTCCTCAAGTATTGAAAGACTGCTGTCATGTCACCCCTAGTTCTTCTTTTCATTAAACTGGACATACCCAATTCCTGCAACCATTATTCATAGTCTCCAGGCCCTTAATCGTCTTTGTTGTTCTTCTCTGCACTCTTTCTAGAGTCTCAGCATCTTTTTTACAATACGGTGACCAACACTGGATGCAGTATTCCAGGTGTGGCCTTACTAAGGTTTTATAAAGTGGTACTAATACTTTTGGAATGATGTTATTCCCTTTTAGTTTTCTTCTCCAAGAATCATAAGTGAGCTCAAAAGAGGAAATGAAAAATTCAACACTGCTTTCATTTATTAAATGGTGTGGGGGTGGGTGGGCAGTTGTGTAGGTGTATCCAACCTGTTAGAGTGGGATGCAGGACTAGCTGTGTTGAATCAGTAGAGCTGGTCTTTCAGCTTTTCCCATGAAACTGGTGAACATTGGGTGGATTAATTTATTTATGAAACAAAAAAAATCTCCAAGCATTTCCCAAGGGCAGAATTTTTTCTTCAGCAGCAAAAGCTCTGCTTACTAGTACTGAAAAAAGCCTTAGGATGTCTTCCATCTGTAACAACAAGTAGACTGCAGAAAAATGCAGAAAGAACTGTAAAATGAAAAATGGGACATTGGCAGAGATAGGCTGTCCATTTTTCGAATAACTAAAAGCAGAAGTTCCACATTCATACCCAGGAGAACATTATTGACATTCTCTTGTGTTTTGAAAACATCTCTAAGGCAACAAGTCTTGCAACAAACTGAACGAAGGAACTCACACAAAGATAAATACTCAGGCATGAGAAAATGGAGAACTCAACTTTTAAGAAGAACACTTCACTTTTGATAACTGTTGTAACCGCTGCATACATCTCTGTTTCCCTCTAAGCAGGAGGACACGTTAATCTAATCTCATAATTAAGGGATTTCATTGGCTCTGAATTAAGAGAAAAGTGAACTTCTAAAACTGGGTAATGTTTAATAGGAAAACTGTCAGGTTTCAAAACACAGTCTTACTGGTGTGAAAATTATTGCATCTCAACTTGCCAATGAACCTGGGGGGGATGGGCGGGGGAGGAAAGGATTGGAATGTGAGCTGCGAAGATCAAGAAGCCAGACCATGAGATTCAAGGACATTCTACCAAGCATGTGGGTAGACTTGAAGATGCCTTTTCATAACAATATTTCCCTGCTTGATTGGGTAATGTTTCCTGACCGAGAGAGAGGAGGAAGAATCCTATGCTTTTACTATAGGGGTTTGGGTGGGGTCTGGCTAGAGCTGGTTTTGCTTTCATTAGTGCCGAATTGATGTACTCAATAAAGTTTTACATTAAGAGATCAGAATGTCTCCAAGGCGTTCGCTTGGTTGGGTTCGTCCATCGGAACCTTGACAAAAATGCCAGTGACTTTGTGATCTTTGAAGGAGAAAAAAAACCCCTGATATTTTCCAATATACATCACTCAAACTGTCATCATTGGTTATTTCACATGTCATTAAGATGACTTCACAAAGCAGCCTAGAACATTGGCAAACAATGTCAGGAGGAGAACCAATATACCAAATAATACAAAAGACATGCTCATTAAAGACTTCATTTGCACGTGGTCAACCATAACAAGGGCTCCAAAACCACAGTGACTAAACCAAAAGTTAATTCACTATGTTTTGTCTCAAGCCACAAGGTTAAGCCATCATGAGGGTTCTTTATTTTGGTTTTATCATGCTGAATAAAAATACTCACTAAAGTTGATGAAGATTCTCAGTCATCCAGGTAGAATTGGCTGGAAGTTGAGTCATGGCACCTGGACTTATTTTTCTAGACAATTCTATCTGGATGACTGAGAATCTTTATTGACATATTGCAAAACCCTTTGGGGAAGAAAACTTGAGGTTGGTGATGGAATACCCCTAAGAATTTTAGGAGTTGGCACATTCCGACAACTTTCTACCTACTCAGATTCCTCTAACCAACTTGCTCAGATGGAAGAAGCTGCTTGGTTGGGCAGTGAAACATCTCAAACCAAGAAGAAAATAAGTCTAGTTGCCATGATTTCAACTTCTAGACAATACTCACTTCAGCTTGTTAACCACAATTGCTAGATAAATAGTTTAAGATTTCTTCAGATTAATCAAGTAAAGTTAGGTAGCAACTTTGAGCTCTTCTCCTTATGAAATACATGGATTCATCCTCAATTGAATAATATAATATTAACAACAATAGTAACAGGAACTGCATTGTTATCTGAGAGACCTCCTGTCCTTGAACATCTTCCTACGTCTACATTACATCTGGCAGGAGATGCATTTTATGAGTTCCATCTACTATGGAGTTTAATTTGACGGGACCCAGAAGGAGATGCTTTTCTGTCATGATATCCATCTTTTGGGGGAAAAAAAACATCATTATCCCAGAACTTAGATTGGCACCTAAATCAAATCAAATCAAATCTTTATTATAGTCTTTAGAAAGGGTACAAAAGACTTGGCTGTGCAGTCAACAGCAGGGGTAAGCCTTAACAATGGCTATATTAAATATTATTCACGGGTTGACTGGGATTATATGTTATTGAATTTTTAATCACGGTTTTGGGAATTGCACGTTGTTGTGTTTATTTTTGACGGTGGCTATTGTTGTTTTAATTGTTGTGAGCCACTCAGAGTCACACTGGCCAGAAGGATGGTTACACAAATGTAGTAAATAAATAAACAAACCACAACTCTCTGAGAAGGAAGTGCTTTGGAATATGAGTTTGGCTCCAGGATGCTGCTGTCAAAGGGATATATTTAAAATTTTACCCTTCTATTAATATTAACAAACCCACTACAAGCCTCTTAATTGAACTGCAATTTATTTCCTTTTACATGGTAAAAGGAACCCATTAATAATATGATGTCTTCATTCATTTAAAATGCAATTAGTTAATGAATTAAGATAAATTAGTCTTACATGGTGGGCTAGCCTTAGTTTCAAGAGAAAGTACATCAACACTTTTGTTCCCTTTGTCCACCTTTGTGTGAGTAAGTTGTATAGTAATCTTAAAAGAGGGAGGAGGAATAATTAATTTGTTTTTAATTGCTGTAAAGAAAATTGGAAGTCTCATCTTATATTTCTTTTTTCCCCCTTCTATATGTACTGTTTCTCGCAGTTCTTCTTTTCTCTATTTCTTAATTGGGAATTCCCAAGTGGAGAAACTTTAGAAACAGCATACACTGAACGGCACAACCAAGTACAGTGGTACCCTGATACTCAACTGCTTTGAAACTCATCGAATTTGGTACTCAATGCATTTTGATGTGAAAATTTTGTCCCAGTATTCCTCATTTGTTTGGTACTCAACAAACAATCTACAACTTCTCAGTGTCGGCTGCCTTGTGACTTGCTACATTATTCCTTATGGGAAAAAATTGTTTGGTACTCTTTGCTTTTGGTACTCATCACACCTCCCAGAACCAATTAACAATGAGTAGCGAAGTAGCGTTGTAGTTGGCATTGTATACAGGAGCATCTACACAGTGTGTGGGCAAGACCTTTTCAAGGCTAGATGAGACATTCTGTAGATGGTTGTAGAGAATAAGAGGGCTAATATCTTGTGGGACTTCCAGATCCAGACAGACAGAATGGACAGCCATTTGCTGAGATGGGGTGAGTATTCCTGCATTAGGCAAGAATTGGGACCATCTGACTTGTTAGGTCTCTTCCAACTCTATGCTTCTATGAAAATCTATCCCTCTGCTCTTCCATGTTCTGATGGAGCATGGTATACTTGACACATGAGTTAAGACAACATCCGTGTTTCAGCTCCTACATGCCATCTTTCCACTTGATACTGGGAAGCTTCCTCACTGGATAATCATATTTGCTCAGCACAGATGATCCTGCATTTGAACCTCACATATTTTGAAAGAAGAATTTGCTGTTTTGCTTCAGTTAGCAAAGGAACTGGAGACCAACCTTCTAGTATTTCAGAGTTATGTTCATGCCAGCCTGTGGCTCTTCCATCTGCTGTCTTCTGCACTACCAGAATTTGGAAACTGGCTTCTAACAATTTCCAGAAGAGCCACAGGACAGTCCTTTTCAGTTCAACCTCCATTTGATGGGATGTGCCCTTAGATAAAATGTGTGTTAAACTGCACCCTTTATCAATTTCAGGACTAAAAAAATCTGATAAAAGCTAACACATCTCTTATGCCATAAACTTTCATGGAGGTTATGAAACCCACTCCATTCATCTAAAAGCATAGATGTTACCTTCACCAGTCCATAAGCTGTATAAGATGTGATACTTTTTAAGATATTTTTTTCTTTTTCTTTCGTTTCCTTTATTTATTTATTTTTGTTTTCTGCAGACCGACACCAGGAATGGAATACCAAAAACAAGCAGATAGATAAATTGCATAGAAGTCTATCTTCAGTTCAGAATTAAAATGAGGTTGCCCAACTAAGTCCTAGCAGCTGAAGAAGACATGCTTTGTTAAGGGGATGTCATAGTGCCTGGGCCTCTCCAATTGCATTTTCCCCAAAGGTTTGGATGACTTTGACTTTAGCTTTTCAGAAAACTTAAAAATCTGGCTCTTTCCCCAGGCACTGGGGCCAGGAACCTGGTCCACCTCACCTTCATGCTTGAGTGAGGAACTGGGTCTTGACATGTTGAATAATGTTTAGACGAACTCTTGTCTAAAATGTTTTTGCTAGGTTGGTTTTCAATGAATTGTTGAGAATGAGATGGGCAGCCATAACAGCTGAATTCATACATAGATACATACTGAACATAAGTAAGGAACAAAAGCAAAAGTAGAAGGTTATAAGGAAACCATTGCTTACCCCAAACATTTGTCTGAGGTCTGGATCCCGAAATCTGAAGGGAATATTTGAAACATGCAGCCGTTTGGGCTGTGATTTGTTCTCTGTGTTTTCAGAAGATTGTGTCTGTTGCTGACCGTCGGTCTGTGCTGCATCGTCTGTCTGCTAAAAGAATTCAAGAGAAAGAGGGGAGAGAAAGTTAACCAAGCAATCAGAAACTATTTTGCATGGAGACTTTTCTGTCTCCTTCCGAAACTGCAGTGCCTTTTTTGGGCAGCGCGCTTACAGCAATGGTGAAAATAACAAACAACCTGTGAGGAATCACAGTATCATCAAAAGCAAAGTTAAATCAGTTGCGCCTAGATTGGGTTCTCCTGTTGGTTCATTTCTTGTGATGTGGGTCCTGTCAAATATCTATGGAGATTCTCAGTCATCCAGATTTTGGTTGTCCCAAAGGAGCTTTTTCTGAAAAAGCCCCTTTGGGACAACCATGACCTGGCTGACTGAGAATCTCCATAGACATTTAGCTATGCATTTTGGGTTGAACACCCTTCGAATGGTGCGGGAGTATGAACAGATTTCCAGAAAACATTGGAGACTACAGGAACCATTTGAGCTTCAGTTTGAGATTCAGACAACGCAGACTCATCCCCAACCGCCTGCACCTGTCTTCAACAGTGAAGGGACCCAGGGCAGAAAACATCCTGCAGCCATGAAGGCTCCACATGCATTTGCACCACTCAGGGGACCCTGGCGACACAGACAAACCTCCAAGTGGCCTCGATGACTCTCTAAAAGGATGCAAATGACCAGCTGTCTGCAAGGAGTATAAATCCTTCCATTCCCCACCATCCAGTTAGAGCTGAAGAAGCTTCTTGGATGAGAAGCGAAATGCCTTCAAATAAAAATGAGAAAGTCCAGTTGCCTTCTGAAAAAGCACCTTTGGGACCTGTCAAACATCCCCCAATGTGCTTCTTTTGAATTACTACTCAGTATGTTTGCTTGAAAGTTTGCAGAATCAGATGTTTATTAAATATGTAACTGAGACGAACTAATTCATTTATTTCAGGTAGTCCTCGTTTGAAGTTACAACAGCCCTGATAAAAGTGACTTTTTCACACTTATGACTCTTGCAGCCTCCTGATAGTAATGTGACCAAAATTTGGACGCTTGGCAACTGGCTCATACTTATGACGGTTGCAGTGTCCCGGAGATCACGTGATCTCCTTTTGTGACCTTCTGACAAGCAAAGTCAATGGGGCAGCCAGATTACTTAACAACTCTGTCACTAACTTTACAACAGCAGTGATCCACTTTACATCTGTGGCAAGAAAGGTCATAAAAAAGGGACAAAACTCACGTAACAAATGTCTCATTTAGCAGCAGAAATTTTGGGCTCAATTGTGGTCATAAGTTGAGACCTCCCTCCATTATTATTTTGGCAAATAAATCATGATATCACTGGCTTTCCCATGTATCTCGGCCTGTGAGAAATTGGGGATGCGCATCACGATGCTTATTTGGCAATTATTTCACGTAAGAGGCTGGATTAAAAGGTGCTAGAGGGGAAAGTACTATGCACTTATATGGGGGGATATTTGCATGTGGCTTTCTCATCATTTCTTGCAGTAATTCAGTAAGAATTAACCTCAGCCTTTAAGCATCACCTTTTTACAGGATGCATAGGAAACCACAGTAAAGAGGATACCCAAAAGTCCTGCTTCATGATTGGGAATCTATTTGCAGCAGTAAAAAAACAACAACAACAAAACAGCCCATTATTTTATGAATGAATTTTATATGATGTACAGTATTGACCTGGTTTGTGTTTTTATGGGGTGGTTTCAAAATTTGAGTACCCGTGTAGGGAAGCCCAGCATAAAAATGTTTTTGATGTTCATAAAAAGTTACAACATCATGCTTTCACTTCTCCACTGTTCTGTTTAGTCTTGCCCAAAGATTTTTTTTTTCCTGAATCATTTTGAAACATCCAAATGGATTGGATCAAAGCCCAGTATCTACAAGAAGAGCAAAATAATTTTAATTAGTATAATTTAAAGAAACTACATAGCAAGAACAGCCAAGGGTTCAGACAAAAAAAACCAAAACCAACAAGCTTGTTTAGTCTCAAAGGTGCTTTTCCCCCAAAAAAGTTTGTTTGCCCTTGAAGACATTTTGCTTCTCATGCAAGAAGCTTTTTCCATTCTCCAAGTTCAGTTCTTGGACCTTTCCAGTTGCCACATATATATAATATTTAGGGTTAGGTTTTTTTAAAATAACATTCTCAATATTTAGCAAACAGCATGTTGCGCTTGCTTCAGCAGCACATATACTAAAATTGGAATGATACAGAGAAGATTAGCATGGCCTCTGCACAAGGATGACATGCAAATTCGTGCAAATTTTTATTTTTTTATTTTTCAAAAGGCAACTGGACCTTTCCAGTTGCTTTTTGGAAAACAAAAACAAAAGCCCACTTTTGGGACAACCATGACTTGGATGATGGAGTTGTCTCCATAAGATATGGAGACTGTTCAGATGTCAGTTCTCACCTGATGCCGATGATCACATTGTAGGTAGTCCTCGGCTTATAACCATGTGTTTACCGACCATTCAAAGTTAATGAAAAAGTGACTTATGGTCAGTCCTTCCACTTACAGTATGACAATCGCAGTATCCCCCCTAGTCATGTGATCAAAATTTGGGGGGTTTGGCAACAGGTGTGTATTTACAACAGAGTCCCATGTGTAATGTTCCCAGCCAACTTCTGACAAGCAAAATCAATGGGAGAAGCCAGTTTTGCTTAATAGTTGTATGATTCACTTAAATAGCTGTAGTGATTTGCTTAACAGGTGGGGCTAAAGACGTTGTAAAGTTGCGTGCAATTCTCTTAGCAACAGCCTTGCTTAGCAACGGAAATTCTCACCCCAGTTGTGTGCCACAGGTTGAGGAATACCTGTATGTGAACGATACCTAACCTTAGCCTTAAATATATAGCAATATACATAAATATTATTCACTGCCTTAATTCTACAGTGAGACTTGGAAAGATTCTGCCTGAACTCTGTAAAAGCAATTCATTTCCTTATGTCGTCTAACCCAGGGCTTTTCAACCAGTGGTATGGGTACCACCTGTGGTACATTGGCACCTGGCAGGTGGTACGCGACCATCCTAGAAAAGGGGTAGCGGGGGAGGGGAATGAGCTGAACTGGTGGCAGCACCGCACAAGCCTGAGCAAGAGATGGCTGGAGCTGCAGGGCTGAGCGGAAGCGCCAGGATCAGCGCCAAGCTCCAGCTGGAGCTCGGCACTGATCCTGGTGCTTCTGCTAAGCCCAGAAGAAGCGCTGATCAGCTGGAAAGCACACTGATCCTGGTGCCTCTGCTGAGCTCAGAAGAAGTGCTGATCGGCTGGAATGTTGCGGCATCTCCAGGGTCTTGTGATTTACATTCAGATGCTTGGCAACTGATTCATATTTATGACGGTCACAGTGTCCCAGGGTCATGTGAAGTGACCAAAATCTGCTGCAACCACCCAGCAGATGGGGGAAATAAAAACCAAACACCCCCCACCCCACCCCCGCTGCCAATCCTCAACAGTAATGCTCACAATGAAAACCTCAGAAAGGAGTAAGAGCATGGTTGGGCGTGCAGGCAGGTGTCTTGCTTGGGGGGCACTTTTTTCAGTACCATTGTAACTTCAAACAGTCACTAAGCAAACTGTTGTAAGTCGAGGACTACCTGTACTTTATCACTTTTTTTTCTTTTTGGTCATCAAGTTTTTGACACCTTGCTAGGCGACTGGTGTTACTCGGATGTTGCCATATCCTAAAAGTGGTACAATAGGTGAAAAGGTTGAAAAGCCCTGGTCTAACCACTGAAATAAATCATAATACAAAACAGTCAACTTTGCACGTTAGGGGTTTTCTGAAGATTCCAAAATGTAATTTTAAAAAAAGGTAAAAGACAAAGTTTAAAGTGGCTTTTGTGTCTCATATTCGTTTTCTCCTTCTATAAAATCCATTTCATTTTTCTGAAACTTCCTTGCTCGAGACAACCCCATCGGATTGCGAGATGAGAGGTCCATAAATGTAATAAATAAATAAACTACAGGCAGTCCTGTAATTCAGCCCTACCTTCCTGTTGTTAACTGAGACGTTTGTTAAGTGAGTTTTGCCCCATTTTACCACTTTCCTTGCCACTGTTGTTAAGTGAATCACTGCAGTTGATGAGTTAGCAACCTGGTTGTTAAGTGAATCCATTTTCCCCCCGTTGGCTTTGCTTGTCAGAAGGTCGCAAAAGGGGATCACATGACCTGGGACACCGCAACGGTCATAAATATGAACCAGTTGCCAAGCATCTGAATTTTAGTCACGTGATCATGGGGATGCTGCAAAGGTCATAAATGTCATAAGTGTCATACTTAAAACAGTCGTAAGTATGAACCCCATTGCCAAGCATCAGAATTTTGATCCTACGTGTGAAAAACATTCATAAGTCACTTTTTTCAGTGCTGTTGTAACTTTGAATGGGTTACCAAATGAACTGTTGTAGGTTGAGGGCTTCCTGTATTTAAAAAAAAACCTCCAGAATGTGCCTGACTATGCTAGTTGGGGAATTCTGGGAGTTGTAGTCCACACATGTTAAAGTTGCAAAGGTTGAAAAACACTTGTCGCCTGCTATTCCAGTCATCCATTGTTCAACAGTGGTTGACACATGGTTAACCAAACCTCCGCTCAGTGCAATCTTTCATTCTCCCTAGTATTACAAACTTGTGATTGCTCACAAAAATTGCAGATGACCTTCACAAGGTAATATCAAACAAAGTGTATCTCCATTAATAGAATCAAGATTTTCCTAACTCCTACTACATCACTGGCTGCCAAAAATAGGTGGGCAAGGAAGTGCCTTGTAATGCAGTCTAGAACTGCTTTGCTAGACATATTTGGAGGGTAAGATTTATTTATTTAATGAACACACACACACACACATACACAAACATAGCAACCCTATTGCCAAAGACTCAAAGAGACTGACGGTTTTCAAATGCTAAACATGGCACAGTAGTACAGTCGGATGAATTAACAAAAACAGTACAGAAATGCATGAATGAAATAAGCAAAAAAAAAATCTGAACAGGAATACATTCTCCTAACGCAGTGATGGT